TTGACTTTGGGTGATATCGCCCAGCCCTAACTCACTCACTCACGCATTCACTCACTCACTCACGCATTCACTCACTCACTCACTCACTCACTCACTCACAGCCAGAGACGTATGGGGGGAACCGGAGCACCCGGAGAAAACCCACGCATACATGAGGGAGAAAATGCTAACTTCACATGGAAAGGATTTGAACCGGTGTCCTCGCTGTGAAGCTAAACTTTCTACATCGTCTCCAACATGCAGCCCCGTTTTTTTTCCTCTGGCTGTGTGTGTTCGGGGGGGGGGGGGGTTCAACCAGTCACATGATCTGTTTATGACGTGGTTTTGTGTTTCCGTCGACACGCCGGAGTCATAAACTTTTTAAAGCGTCTCCACATAGAAACGCTCTTCTGGTTTCTGACTGTCTGTGGACGGTCCTCTTTAGGTGGACAGTCGTCATCATGGAGACTTACAGACCCAACCAGTTCTGACTCATGACAGATTTCAGTCGGAGGACAAGTGTCTGCGTCCGTCTGACAATCCTGAGTAGGATCTGTCTCCAGACTCTCCACAGGTGTGTGTGGTTCTGGTGAACTCCCTTCAGAAGCAGCCTGGAGCTCAGAGCAGAGACGGTCTTGGAGCTGCAGTCTCAGGGCTTCAAACTCTTCTTCATGCTGCTCATTAATTCTGAGTTTCTCCAGCTGAAGATTTTTGATTGCCCCATAGAGTCTGGTCTCTGTGTCCTCCATAGTCTGCAACTTGCTCATGAGATCTCCGTTCTTCTTCTGCAGATCTCCAATTTCTTTTTCTAAACTCTGATGAACTGAGTCTTTGTTGTGGCTGTTCTGTAATTTTTGCTCTAACTGCAGGCTCTGCTGGTTTAAACGTTCCTGCAGATCTTCACAGAGACTTTCCTTTTTCTGCAGCTCATTCTCTAAAGTCTGCAGTCTGTTTAGTCTGGTTTCTGCGACATCCTGATAATAATCCAGTCCCTGCTCTAATTCATTAATTTCTATCAGTAATTTCTCCTTACTGGTGTCTTTTTTCTGCTGTTTTTTCTCTAACTGGACTCTCAGCTGCTTTTCTTTGTTAAAACATTCTGTCAGTTTTACACAGAGAGAAGATTTCTCCTCCAGCTGTGCAGACACCTCATCCAATGTCTTCTTCATGGAGTAAAAATTCTCCATCTTGGTTTTAAGATCTGTGTTTTCTTTATCTAATTCTCCAATTTGCTTCTTGAAGTGCTGCTGATTGATTAAATCTTTGTAGAAACAGTTCTTCTGTTCATCTTCTAGCTGGCGCCTGAGGTCGGGCTGGTCCTCTAAACGCTTTTGGAGATCTGCACAGACGCCTTCCTTTATCTGAAGCTGAATTTCTAAAGCCATAATTCTTTTGTGCTGGGTTTCTGGGGTTTCTGCCTCACTTTGATGGAAACCCAGTCTCTCCTCCAGTTTACTGATTTCTTTCTTCAAGTTCTCGTTACTTGTGTCTTTCTCCTGAATCTTCAGTCTTTGGTGGGCTCTGATCTGAGATTCCTGTTTTAAACGCTTCTGGAGATCTTCGCATAAATCATCTTTTTCCTTAAGTTGAATATTTAAAGTTCTCACGTTTTCTTCATGGGTCTCTCTTTTGCTCTGGTAATAATCCAGTCCTTGTTCCAGTTCATTAATTTCTCTCCTGTAAAAAGCACAATCAGACTCGGCCTTAATTCTGTTTTTCTTCTCGTTCCTCAGAGACTCGTTTGCACGGCTCAGATGCTTTTTGAGTTCACTCACCTGCCTTAAAACTTTTTCCGTGTTTTCATGTTTTTCACATGCAGCTGATTCCTGCTGGACTTTTCCAGATCCAGGAGTTTTTTCTAGTGGTTTCAAACCATGTTCGGAGCTTTCTTGGCCGTCTCCGTCAGAATCAAAATGTATTTTCAGATTGTAATCCACTTCTGGATCTTCGAGGCACATCTCATACCAAGACGGTTTTGTTTCACTAGAGACGTTTTTTCCTGGCATTTCTGGGTCTTTGTTTTAAATATTCTTGTGTTTGAGAGAGAAAGTCAAAAACGCGATGATTCCCACGAAAGCTCTGTCACACGTCTGTTAACAGTGAGCTGTGGAGTCTACTACTGACCGACGAGCCTTTGATGACGTCATATAGTACACACGCAGACGCTGGCAGGGCCCTTTATGTCCATTATTATTAATTAATATGCGCATAATTTAATTTATTTTTTATTATTTATTTATTTACTTATTGACTTATTTTTATGGACGGTAAAACCACTTGAGATTAAGCATCTCGTTTACCAGTGAGCAGAGGTGGAAACGAATTACTTTACTGTAATTGAATAGCCTTTTTGTGTATTAATACTTAAGTTGTTTAGAAAATCTGTACTTTAACTTTTACTAGAGTATGTTTTTTAAAGGATTGTAATTCGCTACATTTTAAATCATATCCGTAACTGATTAAAAATAAATTGTAGCTTAATGAATTAAAAATATGAGTGCCGCGTCTGGGGGGGGGGGGGGGGGGTGTTAGATAATGAGGACAAACAGACATTTTTACCGCAGTTTTGCTCAAAAACATCAGTTCAGTCGTGTGATCCACTCGCTGTTTACCTCCTCTCTCCCTCCTCTCCTGTGGGTTGGAACCCGCACCTTAGCGCACCGGTGTGACGTCATCAGAATTCTGCTCGGTTCGGTAACCAGACTCGGTTCCGTGTTTGAAACGTGTTTCCCTACCGCTCCGCACGGAAGCGGCAAAATAACGTTTAGCGCTCATAACAAGCGGATTATCAGCGCTTTGCTCATAAAACAGAAGACCTGCAGGCCTCTGTGAGTTAAAGCATCCTGATACTGTTCAGGTGTAAACATTGTGCTCCATCCCTGTCCTGAACTCAGAAGATGCTCCTTGATGCCACAGATATGTGAGGATTTAGCTTGTTTCTTTATTTTCCTCCAGAATAAGAGATTAAATTATTACAAAAGCAGTTCAATGTAGTTAAATTAGTCATTCATATGATTCTAACATGCTGCAGTGTGTGTGTGTGTGTGTGTGTGTGTGTGTGTGTGTGTGTGTGTGTGTGTGTGTGTGTGTGTGTGTGTGTGTGTGTGTGTGTGTGTGTTACACATATAGGACTGCATGAGACAGCGTGGTTTCATCAAATCCATGCATCCTATATCTTGGCTGAAGTAATGGCTCAGGAAAATAACTTATATTTCATAAACAATGACGTCTCTGTAGTGTTTATGATAATGTTTTATCTTATCTTGTACCTATCTTTGGTCTGGGAGGTGTAACTTATCATGATACAAGCCTTTTAAAACATGTTAAAGTGTTACAAGAGGAGATAAATGCATGAATTTAAAGTTCATGTTTGGAGACCAACCTTCACAGTTTGGAGGCTCACGCTGGTGAGGAGACACCATTAGTTCTAGTAACACCTGGGCTCCCAAGACCTATTCTGACAGGATGGATGTTACAGGACCCTCAAGGATTCCAGTTGGATGATTGGAGGATTATTTAGGAGGATTGGGATGAACAAACTGATTTCAGTGGTGATCGGCTAAATGAGTGAGTGAACCCACCACCAAGGATGAAATCTGCTAGCTTTAAAAATCAGCTGCTCTAAATAAGCGTGAAGGTCAGAGAGGAGCTCTAGGATGGACACGGATAAAGGAACTGTAATGTAGAGGTAAAGTAGGGCAGGGCCAACGTTAGCAGCTGTCATACGGTCCATCTGAAATGTTTGACTTTCATTTAGCTTGTTATGTGACAGGTTAGAGCACAGTCTCATGTTAGAGTTTTGTCATGAGAACATACCTCACATGCTGATGGCATCATTTCTCAAAATAAAGAATAATTTTAATCACAATTGAAACTTACAATCGAAGAAAAACCTCGTCCAATCAATGTGCACGTCCTGTTCTCACTGACTGCATAGAAATCCCTCTATCAAATTGTGTGTGTGTGTGTGTGTGTGTGTGTGTGTGTGTGTGTGTGTGAGTGTGTATGTGTGTCCGTGTGTGTGTGTGTGTGTGTGTGTCCGTGTGTGTGTGTGTGTGTGTGTGTGTGTGTGTGTGTGTGCGTGTGCGCGTGCGTGTGTGTGTGTGTGTGTGTGTGTGTGTGTGTGTGTGTGTGTGTGTGTGTGTGTGTGTGTGTGTTTCTGCTCTGTCTTCTCGATCCCCAGTGAGTCGTGGTGGATGGCTGTTTATACTGAGCCAGGATCCTCTGGAGGTTTCTTCCTGTTAAAAGGGTGTTTTCCTCTCCACTGTCACTATATGCTTGCTTAGTATGAGGATTGCATCAAGTCACTGACACTAGTCAGTTTGCTGGGTTCCTATAGGAAACATTATTTCTGATTGGCTTAATGAACTGACCTGTATTGGAATGTTTATTATGTGAAGTGCCTTGAGACGACTCTTGTCGTGATTTGGCGCTTTATAAATAAACTTGAATTGAATTGAATTGAATGACCATAGGTGAGGGTAGGAACGTAGATTGATGGGTAAATCGAGAGCTTCACCTTCTGACTCAGCTCTCTCTTCACCATGACAGACCGGTACAACGCCCGCATCACTGCAGATGCAGCACCTATCCGCCTATCGATCTCACACTCCATCTTTCCCTCACTCGTGAACAAGACCCCGAGATACTTAAACTCCTCCACTTGGGGCAGGACCTCATCCCTGACCCAGAGAAGGCATTCTACCCTTTTCTGAATCAAGTCCATGGTCTCAGATTTATAGGAGCTGATTCTCATCCCAGCTGCTTCACACTCGGCTGCAAACTGCTTCAGCAAAAGCTGAAGATCACGTTCTGATGAAGCCAACAGGACCACATCATCTGCAAAAAGCAGAGACCTGATCCTCAGGTCACCAAAAGTGGGGGCAACTCCAAAGTGGAGTCCAGACAGACGTGGATGTGGGACCATGAACAGAGACGATGGAGTTTACTCATTGGATCGCGCATGGGACTACATGCTCAGAGAGGGGAGAGCGGGCAGCAGAGGGCGACAACGTCCTCTGCTGCCCGCGGATAAGCGGAGTAGGAGGTGACGCTACCATCTACATCAGCTCTGAGGAAGTTTGCAGCCGCAAACAAAACCATCAGCAAGGTAAAGAAAAACCTTATCTGTGTTTAAAAAAGAACCAAAAATGGAATTGGAGTCCAGACCCTCTCAAGCAAACTGGTTCCAGAGCCAGAGCCATGCTTTGAGGTGAGTCCGACTATATGTAGAACCTCTCAACTTCACACACCAACTCAGGCTTCTGCCCCACCAGAGGCGACATTCCACGTGCCAAGAGCCAGCTTCTGTAGCCGAGGATCAGACCACCAAAGTCCCCGCCCTCGACTACCTCCCCTCACACACTGCACCTGACCCCTTTGGCCCCTCCCACGAGTGGTGAGCCCTCTTTGGGCTATGCCCGTCTGGGCTCCATGGGAAAAAGCCCAGCTACCAGGCGCTCGACAACATGCCCTGGCCCCAGAGGGGTCCCTGGTGACCCGCGTCTGGGCGAGGGAACACTGCTTCTGTTTTTCTTCATAAGAGGTCTTTGGGCTGCTCTTTGTCTGATCCCTCACCTAGGGCCTGTTTGCCATGGGTGACCCTACCAGAGGTATAAAGCCTCAGACAACTTAGCTCCTAGGATCATTGGGACACTCAAACCCCTCCACCACGGTAAGGTGGCAGCCTAGGGAGGGGCACTTTTAATTTAATTTAATTTAATTTAATTTAATTTAATTTAATTTAATTTAATTTAATTTAATTTAATTTTTCATCCATTCATTATCTAAACCACTTTTCCAGTAGGGTAACAGGGAGCTGGTGTCATCAGCAGTCATTGGCAAGAGGCAGGAAGACAAACTGGACAGATTGCCAGTCCATCATTGGGACACAGAGAGACAACCAGTCACGTGCCCACTCACACCTGGGGACAATTACGAGTCTCTGGTTAATTTAACATCCATGTTTCTGGTCTGAGCAGAATTCCACGCATGCAGAGGACACGAAAACTCCACATGGAAGGCAGCACAGGCGGGATTCGAACCGACATCCATCTTGCTGCGAGACATCAGTGCTATCAACTGCACTGCACATTATTTTATCTTATTACTCAGGGTTGGCGTGTTTAAGGCAATCCTGTTTGTGTTTAAGGCGTTAAACTCAGGGGCACCTAAATACCTTTCTGACATCATCCACCGACGTGTCCCGGTGCGTTTGTGGCAAGGTGGAGAAACGAGGGCCCGGGCGGGATTCGATCCCCAGACTCCCGGGTGAGAGTCATGCACGCTCTAACCAGTCAGCTTAAGGGACATCCCCGTGGCCAAGTAGCCAAGGCGCATGATCAATCGGGACATTGTGACAGGACGCTCACACTGTCACACGTTCCCTTAGGTCAGCTGACCAGAGACTATTAACTGTGCCCAGGTACAGCCTGAAGTCTCGTGGGAGTCGTGCCTTTTCAGTGCTCGGACCAAGTCTTTGGAATGAGCTGCAAGCCGACGTAAAGCAGGCCAAATCACTGGAAACCTTTAAAAGCCGACTAAAAACACATCTGTTCTCGTTGGCGTTTGGACATTGAAGTTGGGATTGCGTGGGCAGCATCACTTTGAATGTGTCTGGATCTGATTCTGGAAAAAGGACTGATATGGATTGCGAACTTGTACTCGGGAATTCTTATTGCATTTTAAATGGTTATATGTCTGTTTTATTGTTGTGATTTTTATTGGTGTACAGCGCTTTGTTTGTCCGTTTGGGGCATGTGAAAGCGCTTTATAAATAACGTTGATTTGATTTATTTTAGTTTATCAGTGTATTTTCATGTGATGTCCAAAATGTGAATTAAAGGACAACAGGGAGCTCATTTTAAATCAACGTCAGCCCGATGTGATGGCTTAGTCTCAGCTCCAGGATTATTAGTTTTATTTTGAGCCATTTAAAAATATATCATAAAGCTACAAGTACAACAAACTACCGAGCAGATCAGTTTATGAAATGCAAACACCTTCGTTTCACCACTAATAATGGTATTTTCTATTTAACTGTATTGTATTCTAACGTATAAATGCTATTCTGTAATTTACATTTGCAACTGAAAATCGCCCCGACAGCTAAGTACCATGGGTTCAACCTTGGGTCAACATGTTACCTGAACAGCGCCCTGCAGGTTCTGTTCACGACCAAAGAGTTCAGAGATAATGTGATCAGGTTGGTTGTTGTTCTGGGTTCATTAATATGAATTTAAATGACCCCTGTGTAACAGCTGACTTCTGATTGTTTAGAACAAAGGTGGAGAATCCTGGTGCAGATTTTATCGATCGCCATCTTAAACATCTGTTCACTGAGTTACAGAATCGGAAAACTAAGACACGCAGAATATTAAAGGCTCTGAGCATTAATAGCGGTAAGATATTTAAACATGTTTTAATGTATTTTAACTGAGCTGTTTTTAAGGTTCACTGGCTAATGAAATACTGCCTTTAACAAGACTTTCTAAAAATCCTCATTGGCTAGGAAATAAATCAAAACATCAACATTTCTGACTCTAACCAATATACTTTTCCCCATGTCATTAAATTTGACAATAAAAAAAGAAAACGTGTGTAGGTTTGTGATGGCCGTGTCCCTGAATCACCTCCAGTCATATGACGGGGCTCAACATAATACATGTCACAGCCCCACCTAGTGGACAACTGTTGTTCCTGCACACACCTGTAGTTATCGTCCATGTATCGTTATTGAGGTGAAATCCTCAATATATCGTGATATTGATTTTAGGCCATATCGCCCAGCCCTACCATGTAGTAAATAATTAAAGCCTACCTGATTGAATAAATACACACGAGTAATTCTATTTTTGCCTCGCAGTCAATGAACTCCAGGATGCTGCAGAGTACTTTGAGAAGATTTTAAGTAAAACCAGTCCTGATGCAGCAAAGGTAAAACTTTATTAAATCAACAAAGACATTTGCTCTGAAAATATTTTGTAGGATTGTGTTTGTTTATCTCTGCAGATCTTCCATGGTCAGATGACACACAGAACCACTTGTTCTGAATGTGGCACACAGAACGACACAGATGGACCTTTCTGGCATCTTCCTCTTGAGCTGGTAGATTCCTCCAGTGGGAACTACAGCGTGGTGAGAATCAGACTCACTTTGAGCTTCTCATTGTGTTTCTGTAGCCAAATACAAACGTTTCATCTAAATGTTGCTGCTATTGATGATCTGCCAGCTGATGAACGTTTCTTAGCTGTAAATACGTCGTTTACACTGGCTGTTTATCAGGTTTCCTTCCAGTAAGTCTTTAGATGCTGTCTAAATGACCTTTGCTTGGTCACACAACCAGGAACTGACAGGACACGGTTACCAGAAATGATCCAACACATTCAAGCTAGAACAGTGTTCCTGGAATAATACGATTGACTTATAAATTCACAGAGATAAGCCCTGTCATAACTTCTGTTCTTAAACTCAACCTGGAAGGATAACATACAGCTCGCCTTTTTGTTCTTTTGATTCTGAAGATCTGAGTTGTTCAAATGTGCTTAACTTCAAACTTTTCACTTGAAACTATCTTTTACTCCATAAATTGTTCATTAGCACGTTGTTTGTCAGAGTTTTTCTCATCAGTAAACAAAAGCACCTTTTTCAGGATGGCGGCATCGAGACGGTTTTCAGAGCCTCCGAGTTTAGTGGAGAAAACCAGATATACTGTTAGTCACAGTTAGTTAGTTAGTGAGAGTTAACGCACTTCAGAGTTTTTGGTCTTTAATAAAATGATATACAGACATGGACAAAATTGTTTGATGAAAGAAAAACCCACAGTTGTTACAGAAATAACTAAATATCTAATTTATACTTCTCCGTCAGCCGCACAAGGGAGAGACGCACATTGACAGAGACGTTTTGCTCTCGGACTTCTCCGTCAGCTGGGGAGTGTTTGAAGACAATTCCCCGCCAGGACAACAGAGGGCGTAGCACTTTTCCGTGGTATCCTGTCACCATTACAGTCACGTATTCAGTCCACGATGGTGTATCTATACTGTGTTTACATTGTTTTAATGTATGGTTTTGTTTTTATGAGTCTTTTTACCGCTGACAATTTTGTCCTTGATTCCTCTCCACCTCTTTACGCAACACATTCTCACTCCCAGCACGTCCAAAACAAACGCTTGGTCAGCCACCATCCGCCTCAGACCCTTGACGCCAAAAGTGCCCTTTTTCGTTACTTATGTGCGAAAAGGGTTTTTTCCCTTTTCTGACTGCAGATCCCAATGCAGCGTAAAACTGACTCAATGGGATGTCCGCTGATGCGGCACCGAACCAGCTCATTTAATCGCACCTAAACCTTAATGTTTCACTATTTATAACCTTCCCCTCACCCTCACCCTAACCTTAACCCTCTTGCTACCTAAAACGTTACTCTCACTGCATTCTGACTGTGAATTTTCGTATTTGCTGCCCAAGGGGAACATTAGAACATACCTTCTGGCGAGGGGGAGGTTACAAATACCCTCTACTGTTAACCACCACCGTGGTAGTTGAAACCTCCCCCTTGCGTTGCCTCGGTCCAAACCCGACCAATGACGAGGCGGCTCCCGCCGTTCACTTCATAGAGCCGGCTTTTAGAGCGACCGACACATCACTAACGTGTTCGCTAGCAAGATGGTTATGTTTAGGATAGGGGTGAGGGGAAGGTTAAAAAAGAGGATAAGGTTAGGTTGAGGTACAATGAGCTTGTTTGGTGCCCTGGCTGCAGACATCCCATCGCGTCAGTGTAACGCTGCATTGGGATCTGCAGTCAGAAAAGGGAAAAACCCTTTTTGCACATAAGTGACTAAAAAGGGCACTTTTGGTGTCAGGGGTCTGACGAGGAGGGTGGCTGACCAAGCATTTGGTTATGACGCGCTGGGAGGGAGAACGTGTTGTTTTATGTGATCAGGACCTCTAAAGTCACGTTTCTCATTTTTTCCGTCCACGAAAAAAACACTTGCTGCATGTCTTTTTACTCCTTCAGTCACGGGTGAGTAAAAGTTCATATTTTCAGACTGTTCCGTGTCTGCTGCTAAACATGTCTTTACCTTTTGAAGCAGCAAAGACGGTGCTGTTGATGAATTTACAGGAAGCAGTGTCCTGACCAATTACAAGCTTGCTCTTTCAACGGATAGTTAAAAATTGGGGCGTGTCAACCATGCTTCAATGGAATTAGTTAAAAAATAAACTCATGGAACAGGCCTGGACAAAAATGATGGTATCCCTAACTAATATTTTGTTGCACAACCTTTTGAGGCAATCATTGCAGTTAAATGATTCCTGTCACTGTCAATGAGACTTCTGCACCTCTCAGCAGGTATTTTGGCCCACTCCTCATTAGCAAGCTGCTCCAGTTGTCTCAGGTTTGAAGGAGGCCTTTTCCAGACAGCATGTTTCAGCTTCTTCTAGAGATGCTCACTAGGATTGAGGCCAGGGTTCATATGAGGCCACTTAAGATTAGTTCAATGTTTGCCTGCTAGCCATCCTTGGGTGTCTTAGCTGTGTGTTTTGGGTCATTGTCCTGTTGCAAGACCATGACTTGTTACTGAGACCAAGCTTTCTGACACTAGCCGGCACATTTCTCTCTAGAATCCCTTGGTAGACTTGAGATTTCATTGTACCATGCACAGATTCAAGACACCCTGTGATGCAGCAGCCCCAGAACATAACACAGCCTCCATGTTTCATGGTAGGGACAGTGTTCTTTTCTTGATATGCTTCATTTCTCCATTCTTGTCTCATCTGTCCACAGGACATTCTCGCAGAAGCTTTGTGGCTTGTCAACATGTAGTTTGGCATATTCCAGTCTGTATTTTTCATGATTTGTTTTCAACAATGGTGTCCTTCTTGGTTGCCTCCCATGTAGTCCACTTTGGCTCAAACAATGACGGATGGTGAGATCTGACACTGGTGTTCCTTGAGCTTGAAGTTCACTTTGGACGTCTTTAGAAGTTTTCCTGGGCTCCTTTGTTATAATTCGGATTATCCGTCTCTTTGATTTGTCATCAGTTTTCCTCATGTGCCCACGTCCAGAGAGGTTAGCTACAGTCCCATGGATCTTAAATTTCTGAATAACAAGTGCAACCAAGTCACAGGAACATCTAGCTGCTTGGAGATGGTCTCATAGACTTTACCTTTAATGCTTGTCTATAATTTTCTTTCTAATCTCCTGAGACAACTCTTTCCTTCACTGCTTTTGGTCCATGCGGAGTGTAGTAAACACCATGTCACTAAACAACATAGTGATGACCTGGAGCCCCATAGATAGGCCCTCTGACTGTCTACATGATTGTAGACACCTGTGATGTTCGTTAGTGACACACCTTGAATTAACATGGTCACATTATTTTCTAGGGGTACCATCATTTTCGTCCAGGCCTGTTCCATGAGTATATTTTTTTAATAATTCAGCTGAAGCATGGTTCAAAGTCAAGGTCTGACTGTCATTAAATAGAATTTTTATTTATTATTACTTTTGCCAGATTCAAGTTATTTCTGTGACCACAGTGTGTTTTTCTTTCATTGACAGAAGGGTACCAACATTTTTGTCCACATCTGTAGGTATAACAACATTTCAACATCTGGGGATATTAGTTTTTATCATTTACAGATATGTTATGAAGCTCCATCCAGATGTTCTGATTCTGCTGCTGAAGAGGTTCGACTTTGACCATCATCACATGTCGGATCCAAATCATCAGGTCTGTTGACAAACTTCCACGTCGTGTCTCTGTGGGTCAAATCTCTTTTCATCCTGTGTGCTCACTTTGGTTTTGATCTGGTTTTGTAAAACAGCCTCCTTGGCATTTAAGGGTTGAGGCTCTGCTGCTGTTGTGCTTTTAAAACACAGTAAAGATTTTTTACTTTCACCTTTTCTCCTGATGAATTGAAATTCATAAGAAGTCACATGAATACCCGGGTGACTACTACAGTCTCTTAAATGTTGACATCTAGTTTAACTGTGTGTTATTTCCTTATTGCTGTTTTTAATTTAATATAAAACTGTCAAAAGATTAAAACCACTGTTAAATACATTTGTTTCCACATGGTCAAAGTAAAGTATGTTGTTTAAACGTGACTTTCATGAAACATTTTGCTGCAAAAAACACTCCTCAGCCACATGATCTCTTCTGAGAAAAAAAGGTAACTTCCTGCAATCAGCAGTATGAACTCAGATGAGGAAACATATTCACACAAATGAACTCAACAGATTACATTTACATAAATCTGTAAATAAGCTGCTATTTTGCTGCAGCTCTTATCACAACCTAATACAGTGGTGTCCAAACCTTTATCCTCTGGGACGCCCTCACCTGTGTCCAGGACAAGCCAGGACGCCCAACACCACCTCCTACCTGCTCACACACATTAAATCTGAATAATTATAACCTTTATACAGACGCAAACAGTTATAACTCTTATACAGAGCTTAGCGTATACTAAAAGTCTGTAAATGGGATTTTATTAATGTCATTTTTTACAAATATAATCTCCGAAACCTACTTTCGGAGGGGTATGCAGACACTTGCCAACCCCCTTGCTTAAATAAAGGTCACAGCTGTAAACTCGGTTCAAAGTCAATAGGATACTGTACAACGAAAAACAGAAGCAAGCATAAAATGTAGTTTCTATGGGGTGCCATTTGTAAAGTCAAACAGTCATAATCTAACAGCAATATTTTTTGGTTATTTAGCATATCATAAGAGAAAAAAATTGGGAGTTCACTTTTTTGAAGTCATATTTTCATCATGTTATTCATACATTTATAAATGTTAAAGTTTCCAAATAAATATTTAGTTAGCAAGCTAAATATTGAACTTATAGTTAAATATTTATTTTGCAAACTAAATATTTAGGTCTGATCTAAATATTTAGTTTGTAAAATAAATATTTAATTCACGAACTAAATATTTAATTTACGAATTAAATATTTATTTTGGAACTAAATATTTAATTTGTAAATTAAATATTTATTTTCCGAAATAAATATTCAGATCCCAGCTAAATATTTATTTTGGAGCTAAACATTTAGTTTGCAAAATCAGTATTTGGGAAATAAATATTCTAGTCCGACCCAAAAATATAAAATATAGTGTGGAGCTAAATAACATCGTGGAAAATAAATATTTAGCTAGTACTTAAACATTTAGCCAATATGCAAATTCGCTTGCCAATAAGCGGAATTGGTTACCAAAATAAAAGCTGGATCTCGCTAACCTCTTTATAAACTCTTGCTCCGAACCAGAACATGTTTTATCTCCGGTTCTATTATTCTGAACACATCCGACGTGTTGGCTGAAGAAGAATAGAACCAGAGATAAAACAAGTTCTGGTTCGGAGCAAGAGTTTATAAAGAGGTTAGCGAGATCCAGCTTTTATTTTGGTAACCAACTTCCGCTCATTGGCAAGCAAATTTGCATATTAGCTAAATGTTTAAGTACCAGCTAAATATTTATTTTCCACAATGTTGTTTAGCTCCACACTATATTTTATATTTTTGGGTCAGACTTAAATATTTTTTTCCCAAATACTGATTTTGCAAACTAAATGTTTAGCATCAAAATAAATATTTAATTAGTAAATTAAATATTAGTGAATTAAATATTTATTTTACAAACTAAATATTTAGATGAGACCTAAATATTTAGTTTGCAAAATAAATATTTAACTATGAATTAAATATTTAGCTTGCTAACTAAATATTTATTTGGAAACTTTAACATTTTTAAATGTATGAATAACATGGTGAAAATATGACTCTGAAAAAGCTAACTCCCAAGTTTTTCTCTTATGATATGCTAAATAACCAAAAATATTGCCGTTAGATTATGACTGTTTGACTTTACAAATGGCACCCCATAGTTTTCTTTCCATTTTTTAAATTCCTTTAAATCTTCTGCGTGATTATAACGCCTTTATATGTATATATATATATATATATATATATATATATATATATATATATATATATATATTTTTTTTTTTTTCGTGGGTTGGTTGTCACAATTGGCAGACTAATTTTAAAATCAACGTTTCCGAGGCACCTTGAACGCGACATGCACGAGGAGGAGAAACCTATGGGAGAAACCGAAACTCTTCAGGGATTTAAATTCATGCTGACAGCTGAGAGAGGTCCCTCCCTGCAGCTCAACAAACATGTTAAACAGCACGTACTGACCCGAGGAAGACTCAAAGTTTAAAACGTTCAAGCCAATGTAAGTTCGGTATATTTTAGTTCGCTTTTTGTTTCGTTTTTCTCCACGAAATTTCAACAGCATTACAATGATATTAGCAATTCCTCTTTTAGCCACCAGCGGTGTGAACCACAGATGTGTGAACGGCCTCAGCAAGACTTCCGTAAAGTTAGCAAGATGAGCAAGAGGAGAGAACAAATGTGGCCATTGTTTGGTAAGTTATGTGAAAATAGTGTAAATAACATTATTTTTTGCATTCATTTATTTTAGTGAAAATCATTAAGCTCTTATGGAAAAGTTTAAAAAACTCTTTTTATTTTAGAATGATGTCTGTCAGCTTTATATTATATTTAAATGTTGGCATGAAGCTAGTAGCTACACTCCCAGCATAATTCAGACTGGGTTTTGGCACTAATGTGACGTTTATTTCATCATTCTGGTAAAACCTAATCTTAATTGTCTAATCCGGGGTCATTGAAAAAGCTATCACAGATTATTTATTAATCATTAACATCCTGCCACAGAAAACCACTGAAACATATCTGAACAGGGCCGGCCCAAGCCTTTGTGGGACCCTAAGCTGGCTTCCCTTTGGGGCCCCTCATACCAACAAGTCAACACCAAAAGATTAATCATTCCTAGACTATACCATTTGTATAACATGCCCACTATCACTAACGTCTTTTGTAATTAGCTTTTATTACACATATGTTATGGATATTCATTTAACTTACCAGAGCAGCAAACCAACAAACATGCTCTTAATAATTTGCATTTTGAAATGCAGAGTGTTATTTGAGTGTGATATATTAATTCAACTATTTGAAAGAAACATCAGCAGATAAACACTAAATTTACAACAAAAAAATTTAGGTTTACAATCCTGTGTTCTTAAAATTTGAAATGTGTAAAATGTGTTGCGCTACAAAATGAAACCAAATGACACTACAGAAAATAACATTGAGAAATTGTTTTTTCATGTGAAATATTACTTGGTTTGTTTTATTTAAAGTTATTAAACATTTTTTTAGGACTGAACGATTAATTGCATATGCAATTAAATTGCGATGTGACAAAAGGAGATTTTCTAATCGCAAAGCCTGCAATTTGACTGGCAGCGAGTGGTTAGCACAATGCTAATATACATTGAAAAACCCATAGGGATGCTAATGCTAATATCGCCAATTACATTCTTACAAATTACGAATTAGGAACGTGCCAAATTATTGCACTTGGAGTCTAATAAAAAGTAAAAACTGTTATTAATCAAATAAGTACAGACAGATATTTTAGTAAAGCTAGAAAACTGTGAGAGTTTTAACTTCACTGGCTAGCAGCTATGAACGAAATTGAACTACGGAAGCTCTGCATGGACAAAACGTCAAAAACTCTAAAATCAAAATACTTCAATAAATGGGACACACTTCCTGCAAATCAATTTTCACAGTTGATGCAAATACCTATGGTCCTTCAATGGATGTGCTCCTGGCTGCAAAGCATTACACCTTAAAATACAAAATGTTGTTTTTACTTGTGAGTGTTTATGTAGACAAATAAACTTGTTGATTTGATATGTAGATAAATATGTAGATACATAAACTTGTTTATATTCGGTACAAGTTACATAGACTTTTTTTTTTTTGCTTCCGTTAGTTGAAAAATGAGAAAAGCCCCTTGAGAAAATAATTGTGAATTAAATCGCAATTTCAATATTGAAGAAAAAAAATCGCAATTAGATTATTTTCCAAAATTGTTCAGCCCTACGTTTTTTTTTCCTCATGTCAACTTGGTGCTCTTTTTTTGGGGGGGGGGGGGGGGGGGGGGGGGCAAAGCAGTTGCTTAGTTCGCATATGCCTTGGAGCTGGCTCTGTATCCGAACTACAACAATATGTTTTGCTAATAAAACAGATATTGGTGATTTTATTTCAGTCCACTTCAATTAAAATGATTGAAATAAAAGTTTACTTTGTATGTCTGATTCACCATAACCTTCACACAGAGAAGACACCAGCTAAGTACCATGGACTGGTCAACCATGGACAGACCTGTTACCTGAACAGCATCCTGCAGGTTCTGTTCATGACCAAAGAGTTCAGAGATGCTGTGATCAGGTTGGTTGTTGTTCTGAGTTATTAATGAGTTTAAATGACTTCTATGTAACAGCTGACGTCTGTTTGTTTAGCTTTGTGCAGAAGAATCCTGACACTAATTTTATCGATCGTCATCTAAACGATTTGTTTGACGACTTACTGAAACACCAGACACACACAAACACAATCATGGAGACACTGGGCATTTACAGAGGTACAGTGTGTGTTAGCTCTCATGATCAGTAATTATCACAGAATACCACAGACCGTTATTTATGGTTATTTGTTGTTTGTCTCAGTCTATGAACAGCAGGATGCTGCAGAGTACTTTGAGAGGATTTTAAGGTTAACCTGTCCCGACACAGCAGAGGTAAAGGTTTTACCAACATCAAAAGAGAAACACTAATTTTTTTTCTAACAAATTACACTTTTTTATGTGTTTATGTTTATCTCTCCAGATCTTCCATGGTCAGATGACACACAGAACCACCTGTTCTGAATGTGGGACAAAGAATGACACAGATGGACCTTTCTGGTATCTTCCTCTTGAGCTGGTAGATTCCTCCAGTGGGAACTACAGCGTGGTGAGAATCGGACTCCCTGTGGATGTCTCAGTGTCAAGTTCTTTACTTATTCTACCCCAACTTGAAGAGGGCTCAATCCGGAAGAATACAGTGCAGGGTTTCCCCCAGAAAATGAGTTAGGCCTGGCCTGGCTTCACCAGTGTCAGCTGATGGAGGGCTCTAGTGTCAGGAGTTTCGTGTTCAGCGTCAGATGGAAGACTCGTCAGACTGATGAAATCTCTTTCTCAGGACCTTTAGCTTTGATGTGACCTGCTTTTTGTCCCGCTTGACGCCCCGCTCAGCCAGTGTTTTCACCACTCTGTCGAACAGCTGGCTGTCTCTCACCGTCCCCGTAAAAAGGCGACTAATCTGTTCGTCCGCTCGCACGGCCAAAAGATCCATGGTCTCCGCGTCCGTCCAGATTGCTATGTTGTAGGTGGTTGAAAGAAACTAGTGAGAGGCCATGTTTATCTGTGTTAATATCCCTTCCGGCCAGCACTCGGCGCATTGTACACGTGACTAACGCGATCACCCTCTTGTGGGGGGGGCCTCCCACGGTCACTCCAAAGGGATTGCCGGGGCTGACACGCGTTTAGCCATCAGAGGCGAGGGGCTCATGCGGCAATATTACTGCGAGGCTAAGCGCACCTGAATCGAGTTTTATCACCTTTACCCTTTGCTCCTTGCTGCATTTACGAGACCCACAAATTTGGATTTATCACTCTGTAATGACGCGATGGTCTGTCTTATAAGAGAGGCTTTAGTTTAATGAAGGTGAGATTAGTTTTAGGTTGATAACCTTTAACCCTCCCACTGTCCTAACGGGTGTGACCCCGCGAGGAAAGTTGACCATTGAGCAGGATTGATGGTTTATCCCTTGGGTCCACATGGCAGGGGTGAGGTGGTGCTCACCCACCTGTCGCCGTTTCCCTGATTGTTTTTCCCTTGTGTATAAAACCCTGTTTACTTGTCATTGGTGTGGGTTCATTGTTGTTGTTGTTGTGTCGTCGTCGTCCCCCCCCCCCCCCCCCCCCCCCCCGTCTCTAGGAGGTTTTATTTTTTTTTTTTTTGATCAATAGGTCCCTCTAGGTTCTTGCATTTTTGGATTTTGGTTACATGGACATTTGTGCCTAAAAATAAATGTTTTTACGTTTTTCTACCTACCCTGTGTCGTGTGGAGTCTCTGCATCTTTGGGTCCTAACCTCCTCCTGGCTCACAGCGTGACAGGTTCTCCATTTCATAGCTGCTTTCCAGTACTCCAGCACTCTTGTAGCTCTTAATAAACTGCTGATTTTTCTTACATCAAGAAGCTGCTTGACTGCTGGCCAGCTGGGGGCCTTCGTGCCGTATCAATTCCCATTTTTTCAGGAAAAGTAGGCTGGGCGTCAAGCTTCTCTCACCTTACCTGGACTCTGGTCAGTACTGCTGAAAAGCATTTTCTTTGTAGTTTGTTTACGCTTTCTTTAGTGCTTGCAGCAACATCTTTTGGCCAATCCTCTTTAGAGCTCCGGACCCCACGTGACTCTCAGTTAGTGGACGCCATTTTGGCATGCAAAAAAGCTAAACAAACACGGATGTAACCATGAACATGAACGGGATCCGCTTGGATTTTACTTCGTCGGAGTTTACTTCACACTTTAAAACAGAAGAAATCGTTTTATATAGTCAGAAATTAAATAGACTAAACATCTCCGACCCTTACCGTGCCCCTGGGATACTTTTTAAAAACGCCAGAAGCTGTCGGAGCGGACTTCTTACCGGCACAACACCGGACCTGGCCGGGGGAACCCCTTGGGATTCCCCCGGCTGGAGGAGCTGGGGAGAAGGTCTGGGACTCTCGACTCTACTGCCCGCTCCGACGCCAGAAGCTGTCGGAGCGGGCTTCTTACCGGCACAACACCGGACCTGACCGGGGAACCCCTTGGGATTTACCCGGAGGAGCTGGCTCCGGCGGCTGGGGAGAGGGAAGTCACGCTACTGCCCCCGCAACCCGACTCCGGATACGCGGATGAAAATGGATGGATGGACGGACAAATAACAGATTTACACGTAAGTAGTCTCGGTGAGACAGATAATAGCAATCCAAAGTGCTTTTTATGTGTGATCTGACAATTGATCAACCATTGCTTAAAAATTAAATACAACTTAGCCGGTTAATTGCTGTCATCATAAAACACGTAAACGGCAGCACGCAGAACTCACGAGGCAACATTTTACGTGATGTTTACTTGCTGCTATGAGTAATAAGACAGAAAAAGCCACGCCAAAATAAGTTTAGGAAGCCCACTAAGAATCATAATAAAATAATTTAAAATGAATACCATACACAGTTGAGGAAACGTTGGTTTAAGTACCTGATATGAAGCGGTCGCTGCAAAAGTGAAAACCTTTACTCTCGGGATCCCACAGTTTCATTTTAGCCAGGTCACTAGTGCGTTTTATTACAATGATCCAACGTTTGCGGCACTCCGGATCTTGGGGAATCCTGTAGATGGCTCATTCCTTATGTCGTCCGCGTCTGTTCTGCATCCTGGGGCACAACAGGAATCTACCATATTTCCCGTTTGATTGAGTTTTCTGACAATAACAAATAGTCCAGCTGCCGGCTTCTGCATGCCAATAGGGTGCCGTTTCGATTTGAACTGTTGCATGCCGGGAGAAGTGACGTCAACTCCCGGAGCTCTATAGGCTACTTCAGGAATGCTGGGCCTTCCTGCCAGGTTGAACCCTCCTGAAGACATTCAGGAGTTCCTCCCCTTGTTATGATGTCAGCAATGTTTAAGGCACCTGGTATCCACCACCAGTCCTCCACCGTCCTACTCTCCTGAATTTCTCCAACTCTGTTAACGAAGAAGGTCTGATGGCCTTAACTGTCTTGTTGGAGAGCCCCAAGCACAGTCTGGCTATCTAGTAGATAGAACCATTTCTCCACTAACACAGGACTATGTTTCTCGACATATTTTCGCAGTCGTGTAGCGAAGATTGCACCGCACACTTCTGCCTTGACTGCATCACCCTTTTGGTCCAAGGGTGTCAGTTTTGCTTTAGATTCTACTAGTCTGACCTGAACACCATGCTCCCGTCTCCCATCTGAAGTACACAATAGCTCCATAGCTCGTGTCACTCCCATCAGAAAATGTTATAGCCGTAGGTCTCCCAATCCAGTGAGGAGGAGTGAGATTTCTACTGAAGGTCACTTGACCTAGGCGTGCATATTCTTCAAGCAGTGTAATCGCTTCCTGTCTGAGGTCTTCAGAGAGAGGTTTGTCCCAAGTTTCTTGTGTCAAACCTTTTCCTCCGACCTCTTGGAATGCTTTCCTGATGAGTATGGCTCCCTTTTGCCAAACAGGAGTGGCAAGGTCCGATCGGATCGTAGAGACCTGCTACTTGGCTTAGTAGTGTTCTTTTAGTTGAAGGTTTAGGGGTTCTACACCTTATTTCCTCTTCAAGCAGATTTTCGCCTATTCTCATTTTTTTTTTCTGCGTTTCGAAAAGCGAATGGCGGTCATGACGTATAGTTTGTCCTCTTCAACCAGATATCCAACCCCCAGTGCCTTATTGTCATTGGTCTTAACCTGGTTTGGAAGTATCCAAATTCTTCTGCCCAGCGGGACTTCTCTATTCTGTTTCTCTCCTTTCCTCCCACTTTGACCTGACTGGACCCAAGGCTTGAGGAAAAATCCTCCTGTTCTCAGGATTTTTTCCACTCCTCTGGTACAGCCATCCAGTTTCTTCAAATTATTATGAGAAGTCAAGATATCATCCACATGGCTGTCTTCTTCAAGGATTCTGCATTCTTCTTCCAGATGGGAAACTTCAGGCAGTTTAGCGGTCTCTCTCATGGCCAGCTGGGCCAAGCATCCTGCTGGGTGATCACCCATGTTGACTCGTGTTATGGCAAACTCTTGAAGTTCCTCATCCTGGTTGTCTCTCCACAGGAATCGGTGAAGGTGCATTTCCAGAGCTTCCAGCCACACTGAGTTGTACATTTTTTTAATGTCACAAAGAGCAGCAAACCTCCCTCTTCTGAACCTGTCATGTTGTGGGGCAAGAGTCTAACCCAGGACATGCAGAGTCAGAGTCGGGTAGTTAGAAAAAAATAATAATATTTATTGACAAAATGATGAACTAAGAGCGCACTTGAAAACCAGCGGGTGCAGAAACGGGAAGCAGCGTCTAGAGGGGAGAGGAACGGGTGAGTATGGAAGTAGTAGTATGGTAGGGGAATTGCAGACGGAGGGATTTACGGCTTAGAGAGACGAGACGTGTGTAGGAGGGGTGAGCCGGGGTAAGTCCAGGGAATGAATGTAGAGCGGTTGAGGTGAATGGTGAAATTGGATCCGGACCGGGGTGGTTCTGGAGAGGGAGCGAGAGGTGGAAGAGATCGGGTCGGCACTTGGAGGAGGGTGAACCAGGAGACGAACCAGAGAATAATCCAAAACGGCATCGGGAAAAATCCTGATGGTAATCCAGACCTGAGGTGAGTAAATCCATAAAAAGTATCAATCCAAGTCACGAGAGAAAAACACACTAGAGAAACTAGAGCTAGAGACAAGCGAGGGCTAGAAACTACCAGTCAGTGGCGTCGAGTCATGTCCACCTTTCTCCTTATAAACCGGCCCGCTGATCAGCTGATTAGAAACAGCTGTTGCTCCCTCTCCTGAAACCAAGCACTCAGAGATCGTGAGAAGATGAGAAGAGTACTCACCTCGTCTCATGACAGAATCTCAGCAAAACAGCTGTTATTGGATTAAGAACATCTGGTCCCTTTAACAGAAGGTCATTCATACTCAGCCCTTTAAACTTCTGGCTGCTGTTCCACACAAGGCGTATTGGTGTGGTAGCAGAATGAGAATGAGGGTACTGCTATTAAGTGGCTCACATACCACGCAGGTCCCTTCCAATCGTTTATTATGTCTTCTGTTAGTTTCTTTGCCGCTCCTCTCTCAACCATTTCACACATCTGCATTGCATACGCAGCTTTCCATTTTGGATCTTTGTCAAGTCGTCGTTCGTTTCT